GCCCCCCTCCAGTATGGGGACCAGCCCGGCCTGCCAGGGAAGACCTCCCATGCCAGCACAGCCTGCCCCCCCCCCCGGATGGGGACCAGCATTCACGGCCAAGGGAGACCCCCCCCACAGCCTAGCATAGTGACTGCTCTCTCTCTGGAGGGGGTGGCTAGTTACCTGGGGCTTCATTGCTCCTAACCCCCTTCCTGAGGAGGCAGGAGGCCAGGGGGATGGGCAGAGGATGCTCAAGAAGAGCAGCTTCCCTGCACTGTTGAGGGACGCAGGAGGATGGGATCAGATGATTTTTTTGCAGTCCTATTGGATAGCCCCGCCAACAGGCTCGGGCCCTATGGGGCCAGGCCCCATTACTGCCCAGACACACAGCCGGTGCCAGGCACACAGTGAGCACCAGCCTTGAAAAAGAAGCAGGCAGGAGTATGCACCCTGTTTTATAGGTAGGGAAACTGAGGCAGGCAGTGATGGGCTCTGCTTCTGTCGCACCATCTCCGTAAGGGGTGGTAGAAGTCCTGGCTCCTTGACCCCAGTTCCCTGCCAGAGCGAGAGACAGAACCCAGGGGTCCTTGCTTCCCCTTCCCCTCCTTCTCTCTAACCATTAGACTCTCCCCCCCCCCGCCCCCGCCCTTCCCAGCAGCCGCAGTGGGTCAGGGAGTCCACTTCAGTGGCTGGATTTAATAAAGGGGTCGGGTGATTTTTATGACCATTACTAGCACTGGTTACCATGGCAACAAGGCTAATGACAATGACAGAGACCGGGTTTCCTGGGTGGGTCCCCCATACGGGGGTGGCATGAGGCATGGGCTGGGAGCCCGGACTCTGGGGTTCTCTGCTGGCCGGGGGAGGGGAATGGATTAGAGATGGGGCCAGGACTCATGGGCTCTGGAGTCAGCTCTGGGGGAGGGAAGCCTAGCGGTCAGAGCATGGGTGCCTAGCATGGAGAAATGAGAAGTGAGGTTTCCTGTTTCATCTCCATATTCTTGGTAAGTCCCTTGGTGCAGGACTTAATGGAAACACGGCCCCTCCCTTTTCTAGCAGAAACCCTCAGTGGCTCCAAGCTCTGCCCAGCGGGTCCAGTCTACGGGACCTCCGACGGGAACCCATCGCTGCCGGGAAACCAGACCCTCAGCTGCAGGGTAGGTGGAAGCACGCGGGAACCAGAAGGGAGGAAGTGGGGCCTAGGGGTTAGAGTCTGGGGGCTGGGACTCCTGCGTTCTGTGCAGCAGCTTCACAGGCCTTTGCTCCCATGATGTGTGTTCAGCCAAGGAGGGGATCCTGGGAGGGGGCTTCACACAAATGAGTCCTGGCACCCTGGAGAGCTCAGTGCCCAGGCAGGGCACCCCTCCCCTCTGCTCTAACCACTGGACACCACTTCCCTTCCAGGGCCAAGGAGAGAACCCTGGAGTCCTGGCCCCCCCATCAGATCCTTTCTGTCTCCCGTTGCGGTGCTGAATTCAATTACGTTTATTACCCACAAACAGCAAATATAAACAACCAGGAATAATTGGGAGCGCGGCTGCGCTGGTTTCATCCAGACTGGAAGCCCTGGTCACAGGATGGGGTGGGGGCTGTGTGGTGTGGGAGTGCAACACACACACACACACACACACTAGCTCTCTCACACATGCACACTCACACACACACACTAGCTCTCTCACACATGCACACTCACACTCACACACTTGCTCTATTACACTCACTAGCTCTATCACACACACTCACACTTGCTCTATTACACTCATACACACTAGCTCTATTACACACACTGGCTCTATCACACACACACTAGCTCTCTCTCTCTCACACACACACAAGCTCTGTCGCACACAGGGACATAAGCACACTGGGCCCTTGTACCGGTCGTGCTCACAGGTGTCTGTCAGACCCAGGGCTTGGTACCCCTATGGAAGTGGCAGGGGCTGCGGGTCAGGAGTGAGGGGCACTGCAGGGCTGCATTGGAGAGGACATCCATGCAGCCGGGAAGGAGAGCTCTGTCTGTCTGTCTGCCCCATGTGGGAAGATGTCATCCTGTTTGGGAAGCAGCATGTCTGGACATAACAGGAAGAACCCAGCAGTCCTCATTCAACACCACCCCAGATCCTAGAGCTGCACTAAGGGGCACTGTGGGGCAGGGTGGGGCCTCAGCGCCGGACGCTAACCTCTGGCAGGCAGGGCACAAAGAGCAAGCAACAACGATCAGGCTTTGTAGGAGAGAAGATGTGGTGAGAAGTGAGGTGGGGGCTTGTGGGACAGAGCAGGGGGCTGGGAGCCAGGACTCCTGGGTTCTTTCCCTGGCTCTAGGAGGGGAGCTGGGCCTAGGGGTTAGAGAGGAGCTGGGCATGAGGACACCTGGGTTCCATTGGCCTCTCTGTGCCCTGGCAGGATGAAGGTGCCCTCGGGGTGCTGTCGGCTCCAGGTGCTGGGAGCTGCGCTGGGCGTGTGCATGACCATTGGCTTCACCCTGCAGCTGTTGGTGGGCCCTTTAGCACAGTTTCAGTTTCCAGTTCCAGGGGAAGAGGGAACCAGGCTCTGTTCCGGTCTCCCCAGGGCCTCGCTCAGGCCCCAGCTGCAGAGCCAGGCCGGACCGGGCTGGAGGTAGATCTGATGGCGCCGAACGCTGGGAGGAGACAGGCAGACCGGGGTGGTTTGGGGGGTGGCTGCCAGGAGGCAACTCCCTCCCCCCCATATCTCCTGGCTCCAAGAAGGCGGATTCCCCCATCTCCCTGCGGAGAAGGAGCCAGGAGCCCTGGGGTGCCAGGAGCCCGCAATCCGCCCGAGCGATGCTGTTGCTAAGAGAGTGGCTGGGAGCCTGGGCCAGAGCTGCGGTGGGGGGGGTCCCCTCTGGTTATAGCAGGTGGGATGCCATGGCTGGAGGCTGCACCCAGCTCTGGGGGGTCGCACGTCAAACAGCAAGTGGGGACATGAGGCAGGGCTCAGAGAAGAGTGACGGGGCTGATCCGAGGGCTGGGAATATGGAGGGAGCTGCTTTGGGGGAGTTTCTCCAGAGATGCCTCAGAGGGGACCAGATCCCGGTCTGTCAGCACCTCCCTGGGGAGGAGATTTAGGGAGCAGAGGGCTGGTTAACCCAGCTGGCACCGATGGCCAGGGGGTGCAGCCAAATGAATCAAGGCTGGAAATAAGAGGCGGATTTTCCTTGGAGCTTCTGCCCCGCCTGAGCCTTTCATGGAGAGCAGGTGTGTGCTGCTGCAGGCTCCGCTCTAGCTCAACCACCAGATATGGGCTGGCTGGAGGAATCCCTGGTTCACTGGCCTGTGCAGGAGATTAGATTGGAACAGGAACAAAGCCCAGGAGTCTGGACTCCCAGCCTCAGCACCCCCATCAAATCCACGATTCAACCAGGAAGGGCCAGTGGTTGTAATTGACACGTGGCTAATGTGATCATTTGTGAGGCCATCGGCCTGGGGACACCTGGACACCTGGTGCTGCCATGGCCAGTTGCTCAGCCCCAGGAAGGGATGGTGGGGCCAGAGGCGGGGATGCCTGGTATGACAGTGGTACCTTTGGAACTCAGTGCCCCAGGAAACTCCTCACCAATCACAGTGCAGAGGAAAGCAAGGAGTGTTACTATGGGTCAGAAGGGCAAAGCAGAACCTTTAGAGCCAGGGGTTCAAACCAGTAGCAAGATGTTTGGAAAGGATTTAGACCAGTGGTCACCAACCAGGGTGACCCCACTACAAAAAGGATGTGGATGCATTGGAGCAGGTCCAGCGGAGGGCAACCAAAATGATTCGGGGCTGGAGCATATGACCTACAAGGAGAGGCTGAAGGATTTGGGTCTGTTTAGTCTACAGAAGAGAAGAGTGAGGGGGGATTTGAGAGCAGCCTGCAACTCCCTGAAGGGGGGTCCAAAGAGGCTGGAGAGAGGCTGGTCTCAGTGGTGACAGATGCAGAACAAGGAGCAACGGGCTCAAGTTGTGGTGGGAGAGGTCCAGGTTGGAGATTAGGAAAAACTATTTCACTAAGAGGGTGGTGAAGCACTGGAATGGGTTCCCTAGGGAGGGGGTGGAGTCTCCATCCCTAGAGGTGTTTAAGTCTCGGCTTGACAAAGCCCTGGCCGGGTTGATTTAGTTGGGTTGGTCCTGCCTAGAGCAGGGGGCTGGACTTGACCTTCGGAGGTCTCTTCCAGCTCTGTGGTTCTATGATTCTATGACAGGTGACCCTGACTGGGTTGGCTGGGGGGCTGTCAAGTGCTGGCACTTCATTTGCCCCTCTAAGCACTGCCATGCTGCTCCTGCCCTCTGCCTCGGAGCTGCCCCCCCCCACCACCACCCCAGGAGCCACTGCTGGCACTTCATTTGCCCCTCTAAGCACTGCCATGCTGCTCCTGCCCTCTGCCTCGGAGCTGCCCCCCCCACCACCACCCCAGGAGCCTCTGGTTGCTGTGCAGGACACAGGAAGAAGAGGAGAGGGGGCTGATGGCAGGCTGCCCCAGCCTCCACCCTGTACCCCAACTCCACAGAGCAGGGGGGGGGCCAGGGATGGAGTGAGTTTGCCGGCTGCTTTTGGGCGTGGTGCAGGGCCAGGGGAGGGGTGAGCCCACCTTAGCCCCCCACACCACCACCCAGCAGCCACCTGTGGTAAACGGTGCCCAGCTGGTGCCTGCATTCCAAACTTCAGCCCCAGTCCTGAACCCCTCCTGCACCCCAAACCTGCCCAGGCCCCCTGCACCCAAACTCCCTCCCAGAGGCTGCCCCCTGCACCCCTCCTGCACCTCTACTCCCTGCCCCAGGCTCAGCTCAGACCAGAGGGAGGGAGGGGGAGGGAGGAGGGAGTGAGATGGGGCGGGGCCTTGGAGAAGGGGCAGGAAGGAGGCGGGGCAAGAGTGTTTGGGTTTGAGGTACATCCTGGATCGCACTTAAATTCAAAAAGTGATCTCGTGCTTAAAAAGGTTGGAGACCCCTGATTTAGACCCACTTTCTAGCAGGGAATTTCCCCCTTGGGGAGATTATTCCATCCTTATCCAGTAGGGGGTGTTTTGTACCTTCTTCAGAAGCAGCTGGGCTTTGCTAGAGACCAGAGGCCAGGGAAGATGGGCCCATTGATCTGAGCGAGAGCAGCTGTTTCTCTCTCTGCTCCAGCTTCAGCTCTCCCCTTCCTGCCCCCGATGCAGAAATAGAACCCAGCTGCCTTGAGCTCCAGCTGTTGAGAAGGCCCCAGGCTGCCAGCTGGAAAGCCCCTTCTAGGGCCAGGGAAGTGGCACTTTCTCCTGCGGTTTAGCCCCATGCCTTTGTGAAACCGCGTCAGCTCTTGAGGTTTCCTGTGTCAGCCAGACTCAGTTCCCCTCTGGATGTCACACACAGCGAGAAGAGACCCCGGGGCTGTGACGTAAGGGCGAAGCTGCACATTTCTCAGCCTCCGGCCACTTCTGATTTACAAATCCGTCCATCCGGAACTCCGACAGGACCCTCGATGAGAGGCGTGCAAGATATGGCCCAGGGCCGGCTCCGGGCCCTTCAATCTATCCCGTGGCCCACCTCACTGGACCCACCGGCAGGGCACAGCCCCAGGGCTCAGAGCGGCTGGCTGCTCCATCTGCTTTCTGCGCCAGTTGGGGGTGGGAAGAGAACTTCACACTCTGTGAACCCCCTTCTTCCCCCAAACTCCCTCTCGGACCTCACGCCCTCTCCTGCACCCCAGTCTCCTACCCTGAGCTCCCTTCTGCACCCAACTCCCGTCTCAGCCCCTGCACCCTCTTGGTAGAAAAGTGCAGCCCCTGGCCACTTACCAAAATTTGGGAGTGCTCACCCCCCATCCGAAACTATTGCCCACCCCTGCCCTAGATGGCTCCAGTCTCACCTCCTGCACACCCCAGGCTAGGACTTTTTCATTGAGCCCCCTCCCCCCATTGAACCCTGTTGCTTATGTTTGCTGAGCATCCTCCAGAAAAGCCCCCCGGTGTTTGTCCCACCGTTCTTAAACTCCTCCAGGGCTGGGACTCCCACCACCGCCCCTGGGGGCCGATCCCACGGCTTCCCCCACTTGAGAGCTAGGGATTATTCTAACGTCCGACCGAAACGGCACAAACAGCAGCATCTGGGGCGTGACCATGTCCCGTTTGCAGTTTAAAAAGAATCCGGTTTTTAAAACCTTGCACTGTTCAGTTTTCAGCCCACACACCAGCCTGCCCACGGAGTCTTTAAAACAGGAAAATCAGTTGTTTCCTCCCCAAACCACATATCAAACATCAAACGTTTGGCTAGAAGCCGCTTTCTGAACCTCAAGACTTTTACGAAGCCCCCGAATTATTTCCACAACTGCGGGTTTTAATCAAGCCGCAGAGACAGGTTATGAAAACCCGACTGGGATTTTCCTTTAACAAAACTCCATTGTCAAAACCCGAAGCCTTTGGGCTGAAAACAGGTTTTGAAAACTGAATATGTGACTCCAAACAGGGTTTGGTTTGGTTTTACCAACACTGCTATTCTTTTACCCGCCCCCAACCTGTCCTGAAACTCCCAATTGCTTTCCAAACCCTGAAAAAATGCAGGTTCCGCTTGTTTCATTGGCGACAGAAATGTGGCCATTACATTTTTTAAAAGGAACCAGATCTGGACTGAAATGCCACTGATAAATTGCTGACATGTCCAACTGGCTCTGTCCATGTCCCTGTTCCTCAGGGGTCTCCCTCGTACATAGGCAGGGATGGGGAATAGTCTTGGGTCCAGAACGCTCAGTGCCTCAGCTCTTATCTTGTGGCAGTGAGTTCCACCAGCCACGGCCTGTTGATGTGAGAATTACCCCACCAGGCTATCCTGGAGGGCCAGAGGGTTCCCAGAGAGGTCTGCTCCAATGGTGCATTCCTAATCCTGCCTGTCATTTCCCCTCCCTCGTGTTGCGCTCTTCTTCTTCCCCTCCTGTCGGCCCTTTCAACATCTCTCTCTCTCCCCAGGGCACCATGGACCAAGGCAACCCCACCCTCCCATCAACCACAGAGGCAAACTCCAGCCAGAGCCCAGCAGCTTTGAGCCCCGCTCACCTGGCCACGGCCGTGTTGCTCTTCATCACCTTCCTGGTGGGTGTGGTGGGGAATGGGCTGTACCTGTGGGTGCTGGGGCTGAAGATGAGGAGGACGGTGACCACGCTCTGGTTCCTCCATCTTCTTTCCTGCTACCTCCTCTTCACCCTGCTGATCCCCTTCTTCGCTGTCTACATCCTCCTGGGTTTCCACTGGGTCTTCGGCACGGCCATGTGCAAACTCCTCAACACCTGCATCTCCGTGGGCATGTTCTCCTGCGTCTTCCTGCTCACCCTCATCAGCCTGGACCGCTACATCCTCACTCACCATCCCGTCTGGTCCCAGAATCACCGCACTCTGACCCATGCTAGGAAACTTGTCGTGGGCGTGTGGCTGGTCTCCTTTGCTCTCAGCGCTCCCTACCTGGCTTTCCGGGAGACCCGCATGGTGGATGGGGGCAGAATCGCCTGCGTCAACAATTACAATATCTCCAGAAACTGGAATGGAACCAAGAGATGGGATCTGGAGAGAGGGATTC